AAGTCAGTAACATTATTTGTCCATTAATAGTTAAGTGATACACACAAACTCGTTTCATTGATCGTATATATTTTTTTTAAAAAGACTTAAAAAATGAACAGAAGATCTTTTGTAAGATTGTAATGTTTGTTTGTATATATTTGGGAAATATGTTTTAACTAAATTTGTCTCAATATTTGTGAAAAAGTGTTAAAGAGAGAATAAGAGAGAAACGTTCACTGAAGACAACGCCCAAAAAATCCAGCCATACAAGGCAGCCATAAAGCTAACAAACAGGAAACGGATGGACATCGCACTTCAGAGAGCTTAGGGTCCAATTCAAAAATAATTACAACCAAAACTACCTCAAGTTGTATCAAAATTTTGATAATTACAAGTTAAAGGAAAGGGTTTATATAGTTTATTGTCTCATTTAACATATCACAATACAATATACATATTAAAAATTACATTACATTTACATGTTACTACCAATTAGGAAAGATTTATTGAGACACTTTTCATTTCTTTAAACGTGATAAAACGCTATCATATAGTTGATAAGAAAACTATTCCACTCTTCCTTTTGGGTAATAAGTTAAGCATGAACTTTTCCATTTTTTTAACTAACATAGAGACCTTTTTGACTGTACTACATTTTAAATATTTGATACAGAATTTTAACAACTTAGTTTTTCAATGGCATTACATATACAACACTTGAATAAATTAATACCAGCAAGGTCAGTTAGCTCAACTTGTCTCAGAAAGGAAGAGCTTCACATCATATCTACTTATTTACATATTAAAAGATAAAAAAAACTTATTGCTAATCCTTTCTTTGAAATAAAACTGCCATAAAACACACAAATCTTAAGAAATTAAGGGGGATGAAAATGGATAGGAGATAAGGCAAAAAAGAATATGAGGTAAAAATCTAAATAAACGGCGATACACAAAAGACATATAAACGAGCGCCGACAAACTACATATTTAATTGCTGACTTCATCTACAGAAAAAAAACGGAGGGGCACATCCGTGGATCATATAGTTGGGGAGTTTTAACTGGTTAAAGTTGTATCAAACCCTCACTCTTAGCTCCAAATGAAAATGTTTAAAGTGATAGATTTTCTGAATGTTCAGAAATAAAGTTAATGGTCCTCTTAGTTTTACCGTTGTTGACACGTAATTCTAAATGATTGATGACGTATGTCAACAGTGTGTAACAGTCATTAAGTCGTTTAATTACATTCCCAAGTCACTTTATGGTATTTTCCAGGTAGTTCAAACCTATTTCAATATTGAATTTCGTTGTAATGGCTGGATAGAGATGGAAAATAACGAGCTCTGATAATCCTACACAACATTCCTGTGGATCATTATTCGTTATTTATTCAAAATTAATTAGAATTAATTCACGGAAAATGTTTGTAGTTCATAAATGGTATTCACCGATTTAAATGTAAGAGAAATAATGTTTTGTTAGCAACGTCAGTATTTACATAAGCTAATTTAATTCATGATAATAAAATTAGTGTTTGTTGATACAAATGTTGGTAGCACATAAACGATGTTGTCCTCTTTTAAATAAGCAAATAAAAAATGCACAATGTATCAATATCAACAAATGTATAATATTCAGACTTGTTTATTTATTTGACATTCCCATTTGCCCTATACTTCAATGTAACAGATTTTAACACTTACGTTTGTATTGGTTTGGCAGCTTAAAGATATATATTATGCTCAAATTTGATATTTGAAACAAAAGAACAGATAATTGCTATCTCTTTTGAAATGTAAAATAAACATCTTTTGAATAAACAACAGAGAAAATATGTTACGTTTCAAACACTACAGGCTTTAGCAGTATAATTACACGATGTCATTAAAAGACTGGCATTTTATAAGAAAAAGCCAAATTAATTTGACAAGTAATAGGGCAGCTTCCCAAATACCGTTTATACATTCACTTATTCAAGTTAGACATATTCAGGGAGAATTTACTAGATTTCAATAAAATTCGACAATAAAGGTATTTTACCTATAGATGAGCATAGTATATCTTTAATTTATTTTAGGTGCATTTTGAAGGTAACCTTAAAAACTATCTTTAAGTGTATTTGAAAGATATACAATTTACGAGAGCTGTAACAAAAGCCTCAGAACAACAGAATACAGTAACATATTTAGGTGAACATTTTAAGGCAATGGCAATTAATTAGATTGTCATTCATAACTGGTATAGATCTTTGTCAAATCTAAATCTAAAATTATAAACTTTTATTTGATTTGAACATTTAGTATGTCGTTTTTAACGCAATATAAGAATGCAGACAACTGGTGATACAACATACACAAATCATTCACTATATTTGACGGCAACGTAAATGTTAACATCATCCGATATATGCTTGATAATTTTCACAAGAAACAAGTATCATTGCCTTATATGTATTATTTAATTATAATGTGATAATTTACCTCAAAATCGATTTATAAAATTTCATTATATTTGTTTTGGCATGGAGTCTAATGAATTAAGTACTTGTTACAGTCATGAGCATGCTTAGCCAGTTTAGAAACAATAAAGTTCACATGAAACTTATCTGTTTTATAAATAATGTAACAGAAGTTGATCCGTTATCACTTAAACGTCAAAAAAGAAACTGCTAAACAAACTATTTCAATGAACTTAAAACTATTTGTTGGTTAATTTCCTCTGAAATATAAGTTTTGCTTTGAAGTTTTAAACTGTTGTTTCTAACTAAGAACTAAGGTTATAGATTGAGAATTCATCTTTGTAACTGGTATCAATCAGTCATTACTGGTAGATAGATTTTCAGTCATATCAAAATAATGTGAAATAATTGGGATTAAAACAATATTGACTGATGAGTAGATCATGTGTAAAATTATATTAAACTGTAAAAATACTAGAAATTTTTGAACAGAAATCATTTTGATAGGATGTCAATACAATGCATCTTTATTGATTAATATTTGATAATTAAAACACGCCACTGTTTGGCAATAATGGTTGTGGAAGCTGGCAGGTCAGCATACTTCAAATGTGTGTGGCCGTAGAAATGGCGACTTTATCGTTATTTTATATTTCCCCCTGTATGAATGGCAGAGCGCAAAAATTGAGAGAAAGACGAAACCAAAATATGTCCAAAACTATTTTGTGAATTTTGCGTTTTCGCATAAACAGGGTCTAGCTCACAAAAACAAAACAAAAAGTCACGGTTTAATAGCATATGTGATTTTATCTTGGCCATTAAATCATGTCATTTGAAAAACTAATTTTGATATGAATCAATCACCACCCTGATATAAAACGCGAATAACAAATATTTACGATGTCAATAATTAAAAATTAATTTTATTGCAACATAACTCAAATAATAATAGATCGAATAAATGATACGATTTTATTGTCGAGTGAATTTTATATTGCGCTTAATGATTTTACAGGAAAAGAATATTCATCATGTGATTTGTGTTACGATCTAAGCGTTGTAGCATAAATAAAAGATTTTAATTATACGGAATGTTCTGTTAGACAAAACGATTCAATTCTGCAGAGAAAATCGTTCATTGTTGAAGAAATCCTTGCTTTGGTTTCTTAAATTTATGTTACTGTAAACGTGAAATTATGTAGAGAGAAGACATTGATATGCTTTCGTAACTTTCTGTCCGAGCTTTACATGCTGTAAATTAAATGTATTCATTCGATGCAAAGTTTATTAATAAAATTTGTTTAAACTAAAGAATGATATGTTAGTTTAAAAAACGCCCATTTTTTATTAGCAAAATGTGCTTGAAAAGTGCATTAATTGTTGATTATTTTTGTTATATCACGAAACAAGATCTCTGTGTTCTGAAAAAAAAACATTCACTAAATATTTCCTTTGTTAAAACATTTAAATAATCTTCATGTTTTAGTTGGGGTTTTTTTATTAGTGCTTATTTACAATTTGTCTCAAAATAGTTGTAGTCACTAAGAAAAGCTTTTCACCTTTCGTTTTCTGATGAAATGTCAACAACAACAACAAATACTTTTATTTGGTTTAAACATATTTTATTTCGAACATTTTGTACAAACAAGTTTATCATACAATATTGAATAACAAAATACAATGCTGAAAAAGGATCAGATCCGAAAGCATAAATGCTTATATAGGCCTTTTCCTAACATACAATTAATTACTAGAAATAAGACGGGTTTGAAAATGTTTGAAATATTGAATAAGAAGAGAAAATAATTATTAATACTAGTAGATTAAAGAAACAGGAAGAAGTAAAACAGATAAGATAACGACCTACGAAACAAAAACATATATATGTGTTTATACCTGAAAGGAGTAGAAACAGGGACTTGAGATAGAAAAGAAGCATAACTTAATAAAAAGTGGAAAAGAGAAAGAGGAAAATCTATTCGGTAAGTAAATTGGAGGAGCAGTAGATGTTGCATAGACTATGGAAATCGTTTGCTATCTCGGATATATATTTGAACTGCCTGAAATATATTGATGTTGATGTTGTCACTTAAGTTTGTGTCGCCGTTAAGTAGTGTGTGGAGAGTTACAGTACAGTAATCTGAAAGTGTTTGAAAAAGTCTGTCTCTGATAGAAGTGTATTTTTTGCATTCAAAGAAAAAATGATGGTTAGTTTCTGGAAGTCCACATTGGCATAAAGGTGTGTTTACAATATTTTTTTCTGAAAAGATGGTGGTTAAGAGAACTACACTCTGTTCGTAGACGTGCATGTATATTGTATATTTGTATATTTGCCATTTTCTGATACCTGTATAGAAATATTTTGGACACTTTTTAATGTTTCTATTCAATAGACACTTGAAAGAAGATAACGAAGGGGCATTTTGTATATCATCTGGAAGTTCATTCCATTCTCTGAGAGCTGAGGGAAGAAAAGCATTATAATATAGAGAAGTTCTTGTATGTATCCCTTGTATATCGTTCGAATTTCGTAAATTATAACGCGAGGTGTCACCTACAGAGGGAGGGACAAGACTTGATAGGTAGTCAGGAGATAGTCCATTTTTCATTTTATAAACAAGAATTAATTTATGTTTCTTTCTTCTACTGTCTAAAGATTCCCAAGAGACCTCTCGATGGAGCTGATGAATGGACACAAGTTTGGTAACACCAGAGACAATTCTTGAAGCTTCATGCTGGATTTTATCGAGTTCATCTTTTTCATATTGAGTACAATTGGTGTAAACAACATCGGCGTATTCTAGAATTGGCCTGATATAAGACAAGTAGATTATTTCTAAAGATTTACGATCAAGTTGGAATTTAAATTTGCGCATGATATGTATACGTTTCCAAGCCCTCTCTTTTACATGATTAATATGAATATGCCATGAACCATCGTCTGAAAAGTGTAACCCTAGGTGTTTGTGAGATGTCACTGAAGATATTGTCTGGTTTTGCATTGACAGAGGTGGATGGAATAGTTTAGATGTTTTACGTGTGATTAGCATGGTTTCAGATTTGGAAGGATTAAACTTTACTAGCCATTTGTCAGCCCATGAGGAAATCTTATTAATATCAGATTGAAGAATATCAGCCGCAGTAACAGGATGGTCAACGATCAAATACAGACTGGTATCGTCGGCAAAAAGATTTACAAAGGACCTTAAGTCAACAACAATGTCATTTATATAGACTAAGAAAAGAAGCGGACCCAGAATCGAGCCTTGAGGTACTCCTGCGTTGATGACTGACCAATCAGATTTGGCGCCAGGAAGGACAACAGATTGGCGTCTATTTGACAGATAGTCCGAAAACCAGCCGAGAAGGGGTCCTTGAATACCGGCTCTTTTTAATTTCACCAGGAGACCCTTGTGCCATACTTTATCGAAGGCCTTGCTGATGTCGAAAAAGACAATCCGAATCTCAAGACCTTCATCAAGGGCTTTACAGAAGGAGTTGTAAAGAAAGGTTAATTGATTCACAGTTGAGTCGCCAGGTTTGAAACCAGATTGAAGGGGAGATATAAAGTCATTATCATGAAGAAAATTATATATATACTTGAAAATAATTCGTTCAAAGATTTTTTCCATGCAGCATAAAAGAGATATAGGACGATAGTTATTGGGTAAAGATGGATCGCCTTTCTTAAAAATTGGGCAAATATTGGCATCTTTCCAAGTTTGAGGAATCTTACAAGAGCGGAGTGAACGATAAAAAAGTGAACAGAGTGGGGATTTGATTACGGACGACGTTTCATATAAGATCCTATTGCTTATTTCATCAGGCCCAGAAGCTTTTATTGGTATTAAGAGTTTTGATGGCATCTTCAACATCTTGAGTTGTAATATATATTGAAGTGAGGGTGTTCCCAGGTTGCTCATAGAAATCGTCCGGAACTTCTTTTATCAGAGCTTTCAAGAGAGGACTGATTGCAAAAATAGTTGTTTAATAAGTCAGATTTTGATTTGTTGTCATATGTAAGTCTTTGAGTAACTGGGTGAGAGAGTGCCGGAATTGTTTGTTTTTCAGTAGGTGAAATGAATGATTTAATGAGTCTCCACCAGTCTCTCTGCGATGTGTTGTTTGATGTAAGTGCGTCTGCAAGTTTCTGAATGTGATTGCTTTTGGCCGTATGAATGAGTGAGACGATTTTATTACGTAATTGTTTGAATGAGTGCCAGTGCATAGGATTTTGAGTTTTTTTGGCTCTATGATAAAGTCTTTTTCGTTTTCGAATGAGCTTTTTGATTTGTGTCGTTATCCATACTGCATCAGTCGGTTTTACTATTATTGATTTTGTAGGTATATGCTGCTTTGAAAGATCGAGGATTTTGTTGCTTAATAAAGTTGCATGTTCATTTATGTCGTAGTTTGAATATTGTTCCCAGTCAGTTTGCATGATGCTTTGTTTTAGAGAGTGGTAGTTGCCTCGATCATATAACCAAACAAAACGTTTGAAAGATCCTGATTTAGGTTTAGAAAAGGAAAAAAGAGCAAAAATAGGGCAGTGGTAGCGATGATTTTGGTCTAGAACTGGTTCCCCAACACCGGAAGTTATTACTCGATGACTACAAGAAACAAGAAAAAGATCTAAAACAGAGGCTGAAGTCTCGGTAAAAATGTGTAGGTTCGTTAATTAGTTGCTCAAGGTGAAATTGTTGACAAATTGAAAGAAGTTTGCGTGATAATGAAGGACTAGATGGATTAAAGTTAAAATCTCCAGTTACAATGATATCTGGTATATTTGTTTCTTCTGCCAAGTTTAGAGAGTGTTCAATAAGAGTCGTGTAATGTGAATCTGCGTTTGGTGGCCGATAAAAAATACCTACCAAGATACGTTTGGATTGAGATAGAATAATCTCTACCCATACACATTCTACATTTCTAGGTTCGAGATCCATTCGCCGTTTGTAAAATAGTGAATTCTTAATGTATAAAGAAACTCCGCCATGACTGTCATCAACCCTGTCATTTCTTTCTGGAGCATGGAAACATGGTATATATATGTCCGAATTGGAGACACTGGGATTAAGCCAAGTTTCTGAAAAGGCAAGAACATCGAACATACTAAATTCAGTGGTAAGAATTTCTATTTTGCTTAGCAGACTTTGAACATTATATTGTAGAACAGATAAACAGGAACCTGACGACATTAGACTTGCAAGGTCCAGGGACATAGATGAGGTAGTGGACAATGATTCAGTTGAGGAATTTGTTGATGATGGACCAGGATTCGGATGAATATCTCCAGATAAAATAAGAACAATATGCAGCCATTGAATACATACCATTTTAGTGAGAATAGCGATGAGTTGATGGGTAAATGCTACATTTTGAATGTAGCACTCATAGCATGGAAGGACTTGTCTGTATGGGTATTTAATGTTGTCTGTAACTTGATTCCTGATGTTAAGAGACAGCGAGTATGTAAGAATCATGTTTGGAGCAATGTGAAATAGAACAAGCAAATTTAGTAAGAGGGAAAATTTCCATGTACAAGAGTAAGAGTGCATGATAGCGGTGCATGGCAATTTATTTACTATGTAATTGATGTTAGAAACAGCAAAAAGCGCACCGTTACTATCATGCCTTGAAGTATATCAATTATTAGCATCCGTAGCATTCCATTTACAATATTCCGAATAGATGTCCTTGGGGAAAAAAAAGAGTGAATATAAAGGGAGAAAATGTGTTTGAGGAAGACAAAAAATAAAGAAAACATGATGTAATAAAGTGACAATTTAAAGATCAATAAACAATATAAGGACCAAAAGGAGCACTGAAATCATAACCTAAGATACAAATAAGTGTGCATACTGTTAAAACTACCGGATTTTGTATAAAAACATGCTTATAAATGATTACTTGTATTTCAAAATGTTATCATATTGTACTATACATGTATACATATCATTTAAATATCAGTATCATTAGCTCTGAAAGTTATTGAACAAATATTCACAACAGTGGTTTGTTTGAAATAGATTGGAAGAGATAGTAGTATGTTTAAATCATATAAACGTGACAAAGCAAACTACATATTTCAATACAATTAATTATATAGGTATTCTTGTCAATATCATACTTGAAATAAAAGGAATAATAAGAGTGACAATTTGCATAATGTACTTATGTATATTAATATTTTTTCTAAGAAAATATTCTTAAAAAGAGACACAAAAAATTCAAAGGAAAATTAGCCGGAAGCATATACAAAACTTATAAGTGCATATAAGCTATACTATTTACTGATTTTATTTACATGAACTATATAACTTGCATTTGTTGAAGTTGTCTAAATTATCTTCATTTTTCATTGAATTTTTAACAAGCAAAGCAAATAAACATACTAATATGTACATATACACGCATATAAATATCACGCATGTACACATACATATATTATACACATGTACTCAAAATTGAATGCATTCATGGTGAGAATAATCTTATTAATACAATCATATAAAATATTATTAGGTACCGGTATTTCTATATAGTTTGAAAAGCTCATTTACTTCAAACAATATATGATATTGATTTATAAGTATGAAATTTTTATTATAATCATTTAGGCAAATAAACATACAAATATATACATAAAACACGTACATGCAAACAAGTAAGACTACAAAAATATACATAAGCACGTACATACAAAAACACATATTCACACATACATACAATGTACATATGTACACACATTTACATATGTACACATAAGCACATACATATGTACACACTCACATATACATGTGTTCATGGTAAAGCATAACCTTATTAATGCAATCATATTAAATATCAAAAAAGGTATTTCTATGTAGTATGAATAGCTCATTTACCTCAACAATATATGATATTGATTTATAAGTATGAAATTTTTATCATAATCATTTTACGTTTTCTAAAACATCACTGATATAAATGTATTTAAAGATAGTAGATTACATCGCGATGTATATTCAATCTTATTTTTATAGGAAAAAAGAACAACTTTACAGAACAAGTAACTTGGTCAAAGTTAAAAACTTGATAGTAAGTAAGATCTTAATATGATATAAAATGACTCGTTATAATCGATATTGTTTTTTTCATATGATAATTGCAATAATCTTACAAGCTGTTTATATATCATAAATATGAACGTGATGTGTCTAGATGACTTTTTTCGAATTTCTAAAATGTAATGACAAAATGATTGATAGATAGTTTAAAAAGAAGATTTTGTTCATATCTCCGTATCAATATAAATATATGCGTACACATAGTACATACGCGACATATTTATCTACAGTATTAGTTTAACTGACTTAAACAAAGTGCAATTCAAATATAGAACATATAAACCGTTAAAGCGAAGAATATAGTGTAAAATGTTTTGGAATGTCACACACGATATTCACGGGATTGCTCTAATTATTACGAGTAGAAGTATACTGCATAACTTTAACTACCCAACAGTATAGGAATAGAACTGAGATAAGTCACGTTTTGAAAGAATACGATGAATAGTCTCTCTGTGCTGCTTTTTACAATAATTATTCCATCAGTGGTCCAAGCGCCGAGAATTACTTTATTTTTAACAAGTTGGCGTGCTTCATATAGAAGTTCAGATCTAATTTTTGTTAAATCTTCATTAACAAAGGTTTGCATGTGGCCTTTAGACTTCAGAAGAGCACGCTTCTTGAGAAGTTTATCTCTAGAGCGACGAGAGGCGAACTTCACCAGGATATCGCGCGGCTTTCCAGATGATCTAGGTTTACCGACTCGATGTGACACAGCTATTTCATCTAAGCTCAAGTCAGCACCAATGCTTGAGCTCAAAACAAGTTATTTTTTTCCCGGGGTTTTCAAAACTTTGTTTTCTGATAATTTCCTTTTGGGTACGCAAGGGTTTTTCCCCGACCCCACTAAAATTGGGGGTTTTGTAAGCCTCGGGGTCTAGTTCAAGTAGTCAATTTTTTTTTTTTGGGGAGATAAGGCTAGGTTTTTCGCTTTTTAAGGGCCCCGTTCTCCTTTTTGAAGGACATTTAAATTTTCCGTTGCCCCAAACCGTTTAACAAAAGCCTTTTTACTTTTTGATTCGACAGTTTTCATTTACATTGTGCATTTCTTCTGAAATGAATTTTTCTTTTAAGAGCTTAAACCCCAAAAGATTTTACTGCCTTTTCACAAGGGGGCCCAAAAAAGGAAGGGTTCTGGAGGGGGAAAATTTTAAGGGAAAGTTTTCCTTTTGTCCCGGAATTTAAACAGGGTACTTAAGTTAAAATTTATTCTTTTTGGGCGCAAAAAGGTCTTCTGGTGACGACAAATCTCTTTTGTTACTGTTAGAAGCTTTTGGTGTATTATAAGTAATGCTCATAATAAATGTAACGTGACTTTTTGCGAGAAGTATACTTTTTAAAAACGATAGCGTAACAGTTAGGTGGTCACTTTCCACGATTTTTTGGACTTAGTCAGTTACGCACGAAATTCACAGTATTTCACTTTCAATAGATAACGGTATAGAAATAGGGTATCAAATATTCATGTTTATTACCATTTAAGTGTTCAATATATTTTCACATGCTTCAAGATGATTCAAGTCCGAATCGTTTTCTTCTCATTTATACAATTTTCAGCTCCTCAAGGTCCTAAATAGCTAAAAAATCATTGGAAATTTGTAGACTGAAAACATAAACAACATGCCGACAGTTTAACCGGAAGTTTACTTTTATTTACAATCAGGTCACATAAATGCAACGACAAGATCAAAAAGATTTTTTCTAATAGTTAATATATTCTCTATTGTTACAAACCGTTACAAACTCTGATCAAAATCTTTGGGAAATATTGTTTTCTAAAGTTTCAGTTTCTGAAATACTTGTTGACTGTGTCTAGGTTTGAGGTAAAAGCGCGTAATCATCACTTCTGGTCTTCAAAAGATCATCTGATGGTCATAATAGCAGCACAGTTACGTGTGACACGTTATGTTTCCATTGCAGTCGCAATTTCTATCAAATGGATTCAAACGCTAAAAACATGAGAGCGTTTACTCATTTCCAGATGAAAAAGTCTTTTATATTAATGTTAGTGCGACAATGACAATTAATTTTATCGAAAAAGTGAGTATTCTTTCTTTAATTATTTTGTTGAAACAAAGCTCTTGTTATTTTTACTTTAATGTGTGAAGATATAGTGTAATCTAGTATTATCTTAAGTGAGCAACCTTTCTTGAATGCTATTTTCTTAATCAAAACTCTTTTAGTTTGTGTTTTATGTGTGAAGATATAGTCCCAAAACTACCATTACAACTCTACACTATACATTCATCGAGAGATAACGTTATCTAAAACAAAAGCCGAAAGCTTTTGTTTATCAACATATGAATTTATAATAGCTTTTAAACAATAGAGTGTCAATAATTTGTTTATTTACAAATAAAAATGTAAAATGTGAACGATAAGAAAATATCTGATCACGTGTACTTGATAAAATAAAAGCAAACACATTTTAACGTTTGATGTTGAGTTCAACACTTGTGCGTTGCTGGGAGGAGAATATCTTTGTTGGAGGCCGATTAAAGACTCGCAGTTACGGACAAGGATATTGCTAAATACTGCGTGATCTGTGCAAATCAAACTTGTGACAATGACAAACCAAAGTGTACTTAACTTTTTGGAAATAAAGTGTTTATTGTTATTTGTTCATTAATACTTATCTTGTGCTTATCTTCTTTGTATATCCAACTTCTTATTTGTAATTGCAAGCAAACTTTGTGACTAACATAATTTAATCAACCAAATGTTTTGGGTATGTTAGGGTATGCTGTGCTTAATATGTATTTGTTCATTTTATCTAATAATTTATATTTATGACAAATATTCTACTGTTTGCATTATGTCAAAACGAACAATTTACATATTTCTCAAGATATCTAATGCATTTATAAATATCGTTACAGGAAATTATGTCAGGGATTCACTGATAAATGTACTCTTTATTCGACTTCATTTCCAGGATTGGTCCTTTATACTTAATGCTTTTATGACTTGAATTAGGTCTTCAATCTATTTTGCAAGAAAAGAGAATTTTATGCAGAACTTAATATTTGTAATATTTGAATATGTAAGCATTATTAGGGAAACTCACACTATTAGAAAAAGGGTACAATGTGAAATACGTCTTTTAGTGAAATCTTAAAAATAAAAAAGAATATTATTGATTGTTTGGATCCAGAAATTATAAAAGTTTACAGAAATGTACATGTAAATGGAAAATATGGCATCATTCAGCCATTATTACATGTTGCAATGAAAATGAACATTATTCTTCTATAATACAATAGACCATTTATCTAATTTTCTTTAGTTATTTATAATCATAACTTATCGTATCTTTATATGTTGTGTACTTATATTTTACTATAATAATGAGAAGCTGCATGCAATAATACCAT